TATATATATATATATATTAGTGTTTCCCCGAAAATAAGACACTGTCTTATATTTTTTTTGGCGCAAAAAAACACACTAGGTCTTATTTTCGGGGTAGGTCTTATTTGTTTTTTGTTTTTAAATGTATAACAATCCAAAGTTAATGCAAATCCAAATTAAATAATCCAAAATGGCAAAGTTAAGGGCAATCAGGGGTGCCGCGCCTTTCCAAGAGCAATTTGATAACCAGAAAAAGCGAAGCGCGCTTTCACTATCAATTCCTCACAGGCGGAGTGCATTTGGTATCACTCCGCCTGTGACAGGAGCCGGTGCTATTGAGGAGGGATCGGCTTATGCGGCTCTGCTCCCTCCGGTGCCGCCTCGCTTCCTCTAGCCCTGGCTTCGCTGGCACCGCTGATTCTCTCCTGCGGATCTTCAGGTTCCCCCTTATGCCACCACCGGCCCTGGCAATGGTCACAACTAGGTCTTATTTTCGGGGTAGGTCTTATATTTTAGCAATTCCCAAAAATAGTACTAGGTCTTATTTTTCCGGGTAGGTCTTATTTTCAGGGAAACAGGGTATATATAGTGATACAACTTCAGCATGTCAGGAAAATATTGTGTGCCGAGTACACACAGTATATGTATAGCATCCCATCGCAGAGAAAAAGGTATGCTGTAAATTACTATCCTCTTTCTGTCATCTGGCTGTCTTTTAATGCTCTCTAAATCACTTGCTGAAAACAAATATTCGGAGAGCACAAAGCGACAACTCTTGATGTGGATACTTATTCCAGGCCAGTGACTCGAGATATGGTGACCGAAGCAATCAGGCAACTGCCATTTTCAGAGGGAGAAGTCAGCAATTGGAGTGTGTGTATATGTGTATATATAGATAGATCTATCTATCGATAGATCTGGCCGGAACGCACAGCAGCGCATTGCGGCCGGCTCACTTGTTTGTAGGGCATGAGGGAGTGTGGTGGGCCATTGAAGTGAATGGCACCAAAACCACGCCCTCCGGCCGCAATGCGATTGCCCGCACGGGATCGCAGGGCACATTGTGCTTGCGGTCCGGTGCGAACAAAATGCTGCAAGAACTATTTTGATCACGCAGCACCGGACCGCAGGCACAATGTGCCTTGCGATCCGGTGCGGGCAATCACATTGCGGCCGGAGGGCGTGGCTACGGTGCCATTCACTTCAATGGCCCACCACACCCCCTGCTGCCCCACAAAAAAGTGAGCCGACCGCAATGCGAGGCAGTGCGTTCCAGCCCGGAAACGCACTGCAACTGGTGTGAATGCGCCCTGAGATAACCTTCTGTATCTTCCAATCCCAGTGACAACTCTTCCCCTAATATATAAGCCTTCTGTTACAAGGACAGGAAGTAAGATGAATCTCCCCAACAGGGTCAGCAATAAAAGAACACAAGTACATCCTTTTTTGACATAAGCGTTTATGCTTCCCAAATCTATCGAAAACTTAAAACATATTTTTGCTGGGGTTGGAGATCAATGGTACTGTTTAACCCACTAGGGCTGCAACCAACTAATCGATAATGAGAATAGTTGTCAACTATTTCCATTATCGATTAGCTGGTTGGGGGGGGGGGGGGGGGTAGAGGAGGGAGGGGTTAAAACAGTGGTGGTCAACTTACTTCCTATAGGGTGTCTAAAGTGTGGCCCCTGACATCACCAAAGTGCCACATATAATATTAAGTGTACAATATGTCAGAGGTAGACAAATATGGAATTCAGTGTCCAGTCTGTCTAATTCAAGAGCAGCAGAATCTTTTTAGGAGCCAGTTCCATTCACAGTAACTTGAGAAAACTTCAAAAAAGTTAGGCGCCTGCTGTCATTTTTAAGACACATTAGCTACCTGGCTCCAGGGATTTGTCCAGCCCTGACGTACAGTATGCAATGATACAGAAAATGGTTAGTGGCTGTGGATATACTGGAAAAGCTGGTGAGAGACTACAGACATGCTACAGGAGAGATTGTATGTATGCCATCAGAGGCAGAAAAAAAAGAAATACAGAGAAGAAAATGCAATGGATAGTTTGGACAGGTTTTAAAAAGGAGAACTATGAGGTGAGTGCTTTCACTCACCTCATAGTTCTAGCCGACCTGTGACAATGAGACTGTCACAGGTCGGCTCAGTAGATTGGGAGGTGAGCAAACACATACCGGCATTCACTCGCCTCTCGATCCTGTCACGGCTCTCTGCTGTGACAGGGGAGGGACTGGATTCCCCCCTCCCCGATCCTCATGCGCTGACGGGGGAGCGGGCGGGTACAGCTGGCTCTGCCTCTAGATAGGCAGAGCCAGCTGTCAGTCACGCAGCTGGGCAGATCCCGGCATAATTGTCAGGATCCGCTTCAGCGTCTCAGTATACCGCGAGCAGCAGCTTGCGGTATACTGCGGCGTCTCAGTATACCGCGAGCTGTACTGAGCCTAGGGTGACGGGAGGACGCTAGTTTGTGTCCTCCCGTTACCCTAAGGAGAACTATGGGGAAAAGCCCTGACCCCATAGTTCTCCTTTAAATACTTTTTTTCCCTGGAGTTCTTCTTTCAAATATTCCCCACTCTTTTCAAGAAAAAAAATGCCTTTAAACTGGTTCCTTTTCTGTACACAAAAATGTAAAGGTATGTGAGCCCTGCAATGATTGCAACACCCTCCTTCCCAATGTAGGTCACAAGAACACAGTGAGCTGCTGCAGGGCGATCAAATACGTAGTTTAACCCTCTCGTGTCTAGAGAAATGTTCATCTACAGCTGGCCATACACCAGTAGAATTTCATTCCAAAAAGTTTAGTCTTTGGAACTTGCATACGATTTTATTATTATTATTATTATAATACAGGGTTTATATAGCACCAACAGTTTGTGCAGTGCTTTACAATGCAAGGAGTTGGTTATGTTAATATAAGGAGGAATGGTTAGTGAGGTCTAATCAACATTCAATCTTGACTGTACCATAGTGACATGGAAAATTCCAAGGAGCAGGATGGAAATTTTTTCTTGTTTCTTATCTAAAACGAACAACTCTAACCATGACTTCCATTTGAGAAAATCGTACATCGTGTAATGTCCATGTACTAGTCACAAAGAAAATTCCATTCAAGTAGCTTGTCTTGACAAAATTTGATGGGCTCATTCACACCAGCAAGCCATGCTGAACACACCACTGCTGGTGTGCCATGACAGGTACAGTGCTGAAGCACCAACCCCAATGGAGCTCATTTTTTTTCTCTGGTAGAACTTTATTGAAATGTCACTTGTGACATTTCTTGAAGATCTATCGGCACAGCGAACCATGCTGTGCTGACAAATGTACTCCACGCTGTACTTTTTTCGGTGCATACCATCACATTGGTGTGAACTGTGCTGATGTAAAACAAGGCAAACTGCCTTGTCTGTACATTGGGGCAGCGCTGGAAAAGTCCCAACACATCAGGTGTGAACTCATTATGTAAAGTAGTACTAAAGGCTGGGCATTTTATACCTTAAAGGTCCCAGCTGCGTGAGTGACAGCTGGCTCTGCCTATCTAGAGGCAGAGCCAGCTGTGCCTGCCCCCTCCCCAGTCCGATCCGCCAGTCAGCGCTGGCGGAGCGGGGAGGGGACAATCCAGTCCCTCCCCTGTCACAGCAGAGAGCTGTGACAGGATCGAGAAGTGAGCGAACGCCAGTATGTGTTCGCTCACTTCCCGATCTACTGAGCCGACCTGTGATAGTCTCATTGTCACAGGCACAGCCCAGGAGTAGGCACCCGCAACAAGGGGGGCTGCGGTTTGGGGAACAACTTAAGCAGAGGTGCAGAATTTCTATCACCCGACACCCAGGACATGCAGCTCAAGGCGCTGGGCAGGTGTTTTTTTTTTCTACATTTAGTCCTGCTGCAGGCAAAAAGCAGGGGGAGGCGCTCGCTCGTTTTGTACAAGTGATCTGGGTATCTGTACAGCCGCTCAGATCGCTTGTATAGCAGCTTGTTTTTTTTCTTTTATAAAAAAAAATGTTTTAAATTACGTCACATGAAAGCAAAAAAAAAAGTGTTAAAAAAAAAATTAAAAAATAATAAAACTAAAATAAAAAAGAAATCCCTAACAAGCACAATATGCATTAAATGGTAAATTCACTCACTGCTTACATCTGCCCCCTGTCTCCCTATCCGCACTATCTGTACCCCATACTGCCATCCAACGCAGCCCTGCGCTATGGATTTTGAATTTCCCTCGCAAATTGCAAGCACCTGTTGGTCAGCGCGGTCAGGTGACGGCGCTGACCAATGAGAAGAACTTAGCATGGTAAAATACACTTTTGGTTAAAATAATTTTTTGTATCATGACAAGTAGATTATCATGAGGGGGAGGTTAGATTGGGCCCCCGCTTTAGACCTTGGACAAGTAGTTTTCTTTTTAATTTCCACACCCCTGTGAAGGACCTTCAAGAAAGGCAACTTAAACAAAACAAACTGCAAAATCATGTAAATGTAGGCTTTTTCCTCATAAAAAGTAAAGAAAAAACCCCAAAAGGTTTAATATCACTTTAAGGGCTTTTAAATGAAATTACTTGGCATCATCAAATGCTCTGACATATGATTTTGATGAGATTCAAACAGTGTATGGTCAGCTTTATTTTTCTTAATAAGGCTGCAAAGTATGACCTGGCTACAACACATTCTCAAAAAGCTCCTAAAACACGAATAGGCTCACTGAGGTCATTTACTAAAACTGGAGCAGCGGTGCATAGTAACCAATCAGCTTCTCTCTTCAGTTTGTTCAGTTAGGCTTTGAAAAAGAAAGACAGAAGCTGATTGGTTGCCATGGGCAGCTGCTCCAGTGTTAATAAATTCCCCTCTATGAGGACAGAGCAGGAGTTCAGATGGTGATCTGTGACATTGATGAGCAGCTAAATGCAGATGGCCTGGGCTCCCTGCTCCTTCCCCATGACAGTAGCCATGACTAAGTGAATGCTCCTCTGCACACAGCCAATCACACACAGGTAGAAGGCTCACACCATTACCCTGAACACTGATCTACTTCTGTTGCTATAGAAATTGCATGTTCCAGTCACAGAACTACTACTGCTTTTCCTACACAGGTTCATAACAGGACACACAGGTAACCACCAGAGTGTGCAGTGCTATTCTGTGCTCAACTCGTGTCCTCACCACCGTGGGCGGACACACAAACTGTCCGCATAGGACATTCATGCTGGGAGCACAGCCGTTCCACCCTGCGTCTACTAGACTTCATCTTCCAGGGTGGGGTTGCTGTGCCCCTAAACCTGCCATGCCGGCCGGGCATTACTGTCCCCGAGCTACTTTCCCAGCCTCATGACACCGTCTATCCCCTTCCATATGCCCGCTCGCTCTCACCCATGCTGTCCCCGGTGTATCAGGGCCTCTCCCGGCTCCTCTGGGACAATATGTCTGACTAACGGAAGCCTCCGATGACAATCTAAGGAAGGCGCGGAGCGAATTTGCGTACGCAGACGTCAAAGGGCCCTGTGCGTGCGTGTCACAGGAATTCGACGTGCGTTCCAGCGTCTTAAAGGGGAAGCTCGCTTTTAATTCCCCGCTGGCCTTGTGATATAGCTGAGACACCGGCTGTGATCTGTGTTATGTGTAACATGACATTTTACTGCCCGAAAGCTGTGCTGGTCTATGGTTATAATTTTAAAGCTTGACTAATTTATTTGAGGGTATTTTTATTGAAAATGTGTGTTTGATAAACAGTTAGACTAATATCCTATGGCATAAAAAAAATAAAGAATACAGCTGCCACTATAATATTCTACAGTGTCCCTGCCTTAAAAATATATAATAGGTTGGGGGGAGTTGAAGAAGAACTCCAGGCAGAAATATTCTTAATTCTTCCAGTGGGGCTAACCCCTGCACTGCAAGGGTTAAGTGCTCATTTTGCTCTATTGATGAAAATAACAAAGTTATACTCACCTGATCCTCCGAGCTGGCTGACTGGCTGTTAGACTGGTCCCCGCAGCCTCTTTCTACTTCCGCTATGGCAGTCTATGGTCCTGTAAATCATCATGTGCAATACAATGAGGGGAATTTATCAAAACTGGAGCAGACAAAATCTGGAGTAGATGTGCATGGCAACCAATCAGCTTCTCTCTTTCATTTTCAAATCTTAACTGAGCAAACTGAAGAGAGAAGCTGGTTGGTTGCTGTGGACAACTGCTCCAGTTTTGATTATTTCCCCCCAGTGAGTGTATTCTTAAATCAAACTGATACTGGTCCCTATGTGATACACTTTAAACCAATTGATATATGTAATAATAACAATAAAGGTGATAAATAGTGTGAAAGACAAAAAAAAAATACTGGGGGTTTTTTCACAAAAGGTGTTTGTGAGGACATTGTAGACATTTCCCTGTTCCTTTTTTTTGTCTTTATTTATCACTTTCATTGTTATCAGGGACGTCGTGAGACCTGGTTTCACGCATGTTCACGATGACATCACACGCATGCGCGGCCGTGGAGGTCCCCTTTTCTCTCTCCTGCAACCTTTGGGTTCTTGGTCCATGGCCGAGTGCCCGACATTTAAGAGAAGATGACACCATAATGACTATCAATCATTTTGGTGTCACCCCTCCAATGGTGTCACCCAGGTGTGGGCTGCACCCCCTACACCTCCCTAGTGACACCACTGATTTTTATCACGTATATCAGTTGGTTTAGCGTGTATCAGATAGGAAACACTATCAATGCCCGATATATTTTTTTTAGAGGGGATGACACCCCTGTCAGTCATTTTGGTGTCACCCGGTTGTGGGCCGCACCACCCGCCCCCCCCCCTAGTGACACCACTGATTTTTATCACGTATATCAGTTAATTTAGAGTGTATCACATAGGGACCAGTATCAGTTTGCTATCTCTCTGATTTGAGAATACACTCACTACCTGCTTTGAGGTCACCCAGCAGCTTATGGTTTATAGATTTACATATTATATATAAGTCTGTGTTTAATTAGGTGTCACATTAGCGTAGTCCTTATATATTTAAATTTGAATGTTCAATACACTACATTGAAAGTGAGCATGCCAAGGGAAATGCCATTGCTGGAGCAGAGAAGGAGAGAGGTTGCGGGGACCAGTAAACAGCCAGCCTGCTCCAAGGTTTGGGTGAGTATATCTTTTTATTTTTGTCCTTAAGACTAAAACGGGCACTTAACCCTTGCAGGGCATGGGTAGTCATCTCAGCGTGCGGAGCCATGAATAGAGTGTACACTCCAAATAAAGTTAAGAAAAGAAACAAAACAAAAAAAGTAAACGGTGCCTTGTGTTGTAACAACAAGGCACCTCGGCTCACTGCTGCCAACTAGCAGACACAAGCCCCATTTTACCATGCAGCTAGTGTGAGCAAGACTTGACAAGCATTCCCCAGATTTCAAGGACAGGAATTGAGGTAAAATGTTCAAGGGGGATAAGGGTGACTCCTAAAGTAAACCTGTAGTGAAATCCAACACTTTAAAACAACTTTCTAGCAGGAGAGGAAGTTTCATAAGGCAGACATCCCAACTCTCCTGGACGCTCCTGGAGTCTCCTGCTATTAGATAGTGGCTCCCGGCCGCCCGGGAGAGGAGCACTTCCTCCCGGAAAGGTTTACTCTGCTCAATCGAGCAGAGTAAACCTTTCCCTGCAATGTCTTCTTTTTTTTTCTGACATCGGGAGCCGCGGCCCGCCGTCAGTCAGAAAAAAAAAAAAGTCATAGGAATGCATAGCTAGATTCCTATTGGCTATTGCACTTTGCAATAGCCAATAGCAAACTAGCTAATGCACTGCCCACTGCTGCTGTCAATCAGCAGAGGGGAACCTGAAGTTTTCTATCAGGTCTTCTTCTGGTGATTGAAAGCAGCAGAAGGCGGGTGCAATAGCTAGTTTGCTATTGGCTATTGCAAAGTGCACCTCCCTGAAATGAGAGGGACACCTCCCTGAAATTGCTTCTTTCAGGTTGGGATCCCTGCATAAGGTGCCAGGACAAAGCTTCACTTTTACATGTTGATTCCCAGAGCTCTGCTGAAACACCTATGTAAAATTCCATTTTCTTTTCTAAAAGTGTCCATAAATGTCATGCATTTTTGTTTGCAGTTCTCCAGCATGTACAGCTGGGCAAAGCTTCTCTCAATCAGTTTTGGAGCTGGAGATTGTGGAGCTAAATGGACCCGGAGGGTTTGCTTAGGGTCCAGAGCAGGCCAAGAGTTAGCAAACATGGAGCACTTACTCCTATGTAACCATAACAGTATAAAACACAGAACCCTGTTGTTGTTGACATTTCTCCACAGCTGAACTCCTGCCAAGTTAATAAAACCATTTCCCGATCCCCTACAAAGGTCTAGTTAATAATATGCAAATAGTATTTGAGGAAAAACTATCAATCACCTTCTAAACCTTTCTGCCATGGAAGGACTCTGGAAAAAATTTATCGGTCTCAGTGAACACTACTCAATTTACTATATCTATACCTGGGTGTACAATAGCTTAATCAATACGCTGTAGATACAATAAATAAAATAATAAGTCATGTGGGGTACTTAGGGGTCTGTTTATAAACATTATGCAGGGCCCTTCACCCCTGCAGATTTCTGTGAATGGTTTGGGCAAATATTGCCAAGAACAAATGTTCTTAGTTGTTGTAATAGTAATACATTGTGGCCAATAGATGGAGTGTTGGAGCATAGGAAATTGATTAATTTGAGGGGATTAATGAGGGGAATTTATCAAGAGTGGAGCGAACAGAATCTGGAGCAGCTGTGCATGGCAACCAATCAGCTTCTCTCTTTCATTTTAAAATCTTAACCGAACAAACTGAAGAGAGAAGTTGATTGGTTGCCATTGGCAGCTGCTCCAGATTCTGTTCGTTCGTGTCACCCCACCCTCCCTCACCCCTTCTATAACATTTTACTCTTGGGTATGCCCCCTTATTTGCATACTGACCATAGTGACCGTGGCACATCTCAGGTCAAGTTTAGGTAGGTTTATCATCTTAATATTCAGGTACGTATCAGTGAGGCTCTGACTACATACTACATCCAAACTAGGAAATGCAATATAGTGGCTGTGACGACATGGTGATGAGTTTATAAGTTAAATGTGTATTGGTGTTGAGTTATGTTTGAGTGCGTTATACTGTGTGACCTGGTTATGAAAAGACTATCAGCACCATCCCTCGTTATCTCCCATTGTTCTCTGAGGGAGCTCAGAAATGACATTCTGGCCAGGCTCCTGCTATGGCTGTCTGGAGCTCGTTAGCAGGGGAAACCCCGTGGTGTTATGAAGATAGATTGTCTGGGGAAGGCAAGGTGGATGTGATGGGATTATAATCTGATCTCATCACTTGCTGTATAAAAGGTTGCGCAGTTGCTCAATAAATCAGAGTTTGTTTCACCCTACACTTGTGTCTCGACCAGTGACTGGGGAAACTGAGAGCTAAAGATCAGCGGGTTGCAATATCTTCTCAGCAAGGAAGAATACAGCGGCGGACATACTTATCCTGAGTACCGGGGTCCGTCACAGTGGCCATAATGTATTATTACAACACTACATTCCAACTGGGAAAAATATATTGGGAGAAGGACCCCACTGCAGTGCTGGTCAATGGGAAGTATTCCCCTTACAAACCACAGGTTTCAGTAGTTACCAGAAACAGGAGACGCCAACCTGGTCCCATGCCACTGCCTCTGTCAAGTGACAATGCTGCCCAAGCTTTGTGAGCACCATATCACAGGAAATTAATCTGTGCTGTATATACTGCTCAATAAACTCTTAGCACCTACTGGAGAAACCTTGCTGGAGTAAGGCTGAAAACGAAATAAAACACTGCATTTCTATCTTTTATTGGCATTGTCATCATAAGTATGTCCATAGGCCCCTAGGTACAGCCTGGGGAAGGGATCTTAAAGGAGAACTATGAGATGAGTGATTTCCACTCACCTCATAGTTCTAGCCGACCTGTGACAATGAGACTGTCACAGGTCGGCTCAGTAGATCGGGAGGTGAGCGAACACATACGAGAGGTTCGCTCACCTCTCGATCCTGTCACGGCTCTCTGCCGTGACAGGGGGAGGGGCTGGATTCCCCTCTCCGATCTGCCAGCGCTGACTGGCGGAACGGACGGGGAGGGTACAGCTGGCTGTGCCTCTAGGTAGGCAGAGCCAGCTGTCACTCACGCAGCTGGGCGGATCCCGTCATCTACCACGTGCGGCGTCAACTAAATGTTTTGTTCCAGCTATAAATTTTCCTGGGATTGGTCTAACCCTCAGATAAGGAATTTTTACACTTCTGACCCTCATTTACAGCATACGTGTTACAGATCTGTGACTCAAAAGTACTGAAGTCAGACATCAAGGTGTCTGCAGCAGCTCCCATAACTCTCTAATGAGAATCACTTAAAAACGTAACAGAATAAAAGAGCTTTGGCAGCAACATTGGTGTTGCAGGGAATGGCGAACTCTTTATATGGTATGGCCCAAGATATA